GTGAACACATAAAAGTGATAGAAAATGGGTCAACCTGTCTGGCAGCAGAGTTACCAAGGAAAGCAACAACTAAGGAAAACTCTAATCATTTAAAACAGAAAACATAACTCATTTGTGTAGCGCGCGGAGATGTAGCGCGCACCATGGCGCTGTCATGTCAGGGGCACGGGGCCTGGGCGCCATTTGCTGTTCCACGTCAAACTTGACAGCTTGTGCGCAACTTGACAGACAACTTGTGCGCATGTGCGCACACAGCCCATGCGCGTGCGAGCCCCCCCCACAACGCGGGGAGTATTTCGATCTGGCCATCCTATCTGGCCAATCATAATTTAAGCACGATCACTCCATTCTGGCCTGAGCCATTGGGTTGATGACACATCAGGGCTTTGTCTGGCACCCTATATATTCTTCTGCGTCACGGGGACGGGGTCTTTTGCCTCTTTACAACCTCAAGTGTAAGTGCTCCAATAAAGTGTGTTCTGAGAAGAATCCTGTTGCAGTCGTCTCTTCTGCTGGCAGGAGCGGCGTGCTGCACATTTGTATAAATTATAAATATGTAAAAAGATATTTCAAGTGTGTCATAGCAAGAATGATGGTCATAACACACCCAAATAATCTTAGCAGTCAAAAGTCCACCAAGCAGCACAAGCATTCTGGCAGCAAATGAAACAAGTACTGTAGAACTAATACAAATGTCCCTGAGCAGAAATGTTAAGTAATCTTGCAAAATACCAAAAGTTAATATGGAAACTGAGGGACATTAAGGTTAACCTGACACAGTGCTTTCGTGTCCTTGTCAGCAATCTTACAGAACTGGAAATCTGTTCTAGTCTGGTGGCAAGCTAGGCTGTGTCCCTGCCTCTCTCACCAGCCGGACCGTGTAGATACATATAGTGGCTGACTGAAACAGGCTGCATGAGACTAAGCAGGAGGTAAAGTGACTGCAAAGACACAGCAACCAACTAACCAGATGAAACCAAGGGCAGTGAAGCTGGGGCAACCTCAAGAAGCCTGGTAACATGTAATAACACACATATAACTACTAACTACAGAAAGGGGTATTTTAATGAGGAAGTAGTAAATCCCAAAAGCTCAACAAAACAAGGAAAGAACGTAAGAAAATTAAAACATTACCAAAGCACATCAAAATCAAACTCCTTAGAAACCCTAGAAAAGAGAAAACATCTTAACTCAGGCTTAGTGGCACATACTCTTAACCGTTAATGCTCAGAAAGCTGAGGTAGAATGACTCTGAATTCTAGGTCAGCAGAGGCAATGCAGACAACCCTGTCTTGTCAACAACAAAGCAAAAATTTTAAATGGAGCTCAAGAAAACAGAATGGAAGAAAATATCTCAAAATTGTGTATCTGAAGTGGGATTAAGATCCAAGAACCCTTAAATTCCTTATAATGACAACAACAAAGAAACAATGTTCTGGCTCAGCGGGTAAGGATGCTTGCAGCAATGTCTGACAACTTGGGTTTGATCCCCAGAAACTACACCAAGGTACACACTTGTAAGGCTAGCACTTGGGAGACAGAAAAAAAGAAGACTCCAAGAGCAGATCACTCTTGGCTAAATAGCAAGTTTTAGGCCACCTTGGGAAATATATATAACACTATCTAAGAAACAAAACTTTTTTTTGAAATGGAAATAAAAGTATGAAAAAAACCCAAACATATATAAAGATGAGGATGAACACAAATATAGCAGAAAGTAAAGCAACATCTTTAAAACAATAGAACACAGTCGTCAACAACAGGCAGGTCCATACTCACATAGTTGACGTTAAAGACGTTCCAAGAAATACTAACTATAAAAGGAACCATAAGAAATATTTAATCAGGGGAAACATTCCACACAGAAACCTGAACTACACACACACACACACACACACACACACACACACACACACACACTGAAGAGTCCTAGAAATAAAAAAATTAAATCCAATTATATTATTAAAATAAAAATGACTTTTCACAAGCTGGACATGGTGGAATATAGCTATAATCAGAAGCACTAAAAAAGGTAGAAGCAGCAGGAGGTTTGAGAGCTTAAGGCCAGCTTGGGCTACATACATAGAGGCCACTGTAAACTATATTAAGACCTTCCTGTCTCCAGATGGAGAAAGGGAGGAAGGGAGGAAGAGAGGAAGGAAGGAAGGAAGGACAGGAGAATAGGGGGGAGAGAAGGAAGGAAAGAAGGAGGTGTCTATCTTAAAAAAAAAAAAAAACAAGATTCTTGATTAACAGAATTCAGTTCTACCATGCTTTCCCTTAAACCAGAATCAATATTCTCAAGATGCATATCCCACAACAGAGTGTCTTTTGGAAAAATGAAACTAAAATCTAGTCCAATGTTGCATTTACAGGTGGTTTTCAAGCCTTTTTAAGGGGTTGCTTATAAAATAGCATTTTCAGATAAAGTACGGAGGCCAATATATAATTTAATTTTCTGTGTCTGCAGACAGTCCTGAAGTCAAGTCAAAAAGTAAGTCAGCAAATAATGTTCTTTGCTTTAAAGAAGGTTAATTTAATCAATCAGCCAAGCTACTCTAAACTGGCAAAAAGAAGAGACCTTTATCAAGTCTTCCTGAGGAAAATTAATTAATCAAAGGAGTAGTTGCACAATAAAACTTGGGTCAGATGGAGAAAGAAAAAGAATATCAGAAAACATCATAGTTCAAACCTCAGGGGAAATGTGGTTAGTAAGAATAAAATCTCTGTAATTCAATATTATTTGAAGCCAGAGAACAGAATGGGAATGGAATACTGCCCAGGATTCCTCCAAATACATAATGTTAAATGAAATGGATCCATTCAGATCCTTTGAGCCCTGCACCAGACCCAATATTTCAAGTTCTCTAGCAAGACTACTTGCTCCTCCCTGCCACAACTCAATAGTACACACTATACATCAGGATGTTCGGACAAAATTCAAGAGGTCAACTATTGGTGCCTGGCTAAGGACAAAAATTCATTACTCTGAAAAATGGAGTAAAAAAGAAAATTTTGTGACTTCATTTTTCACTTAAGAATATTATATGTGAGCTAGCAACTTCCAATGCTTCAATTTCACTGCAGATCTGTGGTGATTTTCAGTTTATATGGTCATACACTGATCCAAAGAACCACATCAATTCAACTGAAGAAGCGGCCAATTTTTTCTTTAAATCTATACAAGAAAGTTCCAATTAGCATTTCCTCTTCCTCCCTTCCTCCCTGCCCCCCCTCTCCCTCCCCACCTGACTCTTCTGACACTGACCTTGTTATGTTGCTCAAATTGGCCTCAAATTCCTGAGCTCAAGATATACTCACATCTCAAATGAGTTAACTGAGATAAGAGACACATACTACCATGCCTGGCAAAACAAAATGATTCTTAACATTCAAAAAGTAGAGGCTGGGCAAAGTGTACACATCTGAAATCCTAGCATTTGGGAGACAGAGGTAGGAGGATTGGGAGTTCAAGGCCAACCTCAAATTCATGGTCAGACTGGGTTACAAGAAAACTGTAAATATTCATCAACCGATAAAGCCATAACTAAAATGTAGTGTTAACTATACAAAAGAATTTTTAAAGATTTATGTTACTTTATCTATATGGTGGAGGCAGAACAAATGCATACATGTGGTGTCCTCAGATCATCTGGAGCTGGAATTACATAATTACAGGCAGTACAGCGCTAACCAATGTGAGTGGTGAGGACAAAACTCAGGTCTGGAAAAACAGCAAGCTTTATTAACCACGGAGCCACTTCTCCAGCCCCTATAAAGGAAATATTTGGCCATAAAATAGTACTGAAATATGCTAGCATATGGACCATTAGAATCAGCAAGTGAAAGAAAGCAGAAGCAAAATGCCTGTAACATCATATGGCTTCTTTTATAAAAAATATCCAGAAGAGACAAATTCCTGGGGAAGAAATAAGACTGGTAATTACCAGAGGATGGAGGAAAGAGCCTGTTCAATGGGTGAGGGTTCTTTTAGAAATGATAAGTGTTATGAGTATATGGTAGCAACTGTACAACATTATGAATATACTAAAAACACTGAATAGAGCATTATGAAGAGTTAATTACACATTTCAGTTGTGAATTTTTCATATGAATTACAACAAAAATACATGTCTATATGTTTGTTCCATGTATCGCCTAATACTTTAAAAAAAGTTTTGCTCATTAAAGGTGTTCAAGGGGCTGGAGAGATAGCTCAGTAGTTAAAAGCACTGATTGCTCTTTCAGAGGACCTTGGTTCAATTCTCAGCATCTTTTTGTCTGCCTGCATCTCTATATGTACACAACAAGTATGCAGTGCCCAAAGTCTAGCAGAGGGTGTAGAATCACCTGTAATTGGAGCTACAGACAGTTATGAGCTGCCATGTGTGTGCGGAAAACAAATCTCTGTCTTCTGCAAAAGCAGTAGGTGCAGGTGTTCTTAACTGCTGAGACACCTCTCTAGCCCCAGTACTTTAAAATTTTTGATACGACATTTTAGAAAAGGAAAGTTATAGCAGATTAATGAGTGACTTCCAACAGCTGGGGGGGAGCAAACATGCAAATTACTAATTTTCTAGTGCTGTGAAGTTATTGTGCATGATAATGTAACTATAAATATAAGATATTTAAAATTAGACTGGAGAAATAGTAAAATGTCTGCTACACAAGAGGAAAAATCCAAGTCCAAGATCCCCAACACGCATAAAAAAAAACAAACAAAACAAAAACCCCTGCATTACCCTGCACCTCTATAACCCTAACACAGAGGAAGTGAGTAAGATGGATCTTGGAAGCTCCCTGGCCAAACAATCTAGCCAACTGGTAAGCACCCAGGTCACCCAGACACCTTGTCTCAGAAAGATAAGGTGAAAAGCCACCAAGGAAGATAACTGAAGTCAACATCTAACACAAACATATACACTACTCACCCCCCCCCCCAAAAAAAAAACAAGTTAAATTATTAGGAGCTAGATGGCCTAGTGGGCAGGAACACTTACTGTGCAAGCATGAGGACCTGACTTCAAAGCCCCAGTATTCACAAAATAAGCTGGGCTTGTAACACCAGTGCTGTGGTGGGTGAAAACAGAAGATCTCTGAGGCTTGCGATCCACCAGCCTAGCTCCCGGTTCAATGAGCAATACTGTCTCAAAACAATATGGCAGAGAGTAACAGGTCATTTAGGACACTCAATGTTCTCCCTGACCTCTGCACATGTGTAGTCATACACACACCCCACACACATCAGAAAAATATATCAAAGTAAAACACAGGACCAGCTATATTTTTAAACAATATATAAAAGTCTATCAAGCCCTACAGACACTTAAAGCAAGGTGAACTAAATCAGTATATAATACTGATTAAACAATAAAATAATACTGATTAATTAAATAACCAGGACACACAGGGTTCTCAGAGTAGAACCCAAAATGTGACAGGAGAATGAAATCCATTACAACTACTGGGACAAGCTCAGGACCAACTGAAGAAACATTTACTCAGTCTAAATGATCAAAAGGAAAGGAACTGTTCAGAAGCACTGTCCTTAAGTTAATACAGTTGTCACCCAAAATTAACCACCTTGAAATCACTGCATGTAAAGACTAGAACTGTAGAATTAAGTAAATAAGAGGTGGACAGCTTCTCACTGCAAAGTAGAAGGATACAGATAATGAGAAAGGGATAGAAAGATGGTTTGGTGGGTAAGAGTAAAGTGCTCGCCTAGCATATACAAGGCTGTGGGTGTGATCTCCAGGACCATAAAAGAAAAGGAAATGCCTAAAATATAATCTTTGCCTTCATGAAGCGTGTCTTACTTTGAAGTAGTGATAGTGTACATGAAACAGCACAGAATACAAGAACGCTTAAAAGGTAGAGATGAAAGAATGAGAAATATAAAGTCTACACTTGATCTCAGTCAAAAAAGAAGGTTTCAGTTCAGATATCAAAACTTTGAGTCTGTATCATAATATGTACTTCAGGACATCAAAGTAAAGGAATGATAAACAGGCACATTCACAAGAGCAATCTAAATGGTAAATAAATGAGAAAAAGGCAACAAGAAATATAAGAAAGTGGACTAGAGAGATGATTAGGCATGGTGTTTGCCACCAATCCTGATGACTTGGGTTCAATCTCTGAGACCAACACGGTGGAAATAACTGAGTCCTGTAGATTGTCCTTTACCTCCACAAGTGCTGTGACACACACACACACACACGCGCGCACAATACACCCAGACACACCCAAAAAATAAATATACGTTAAAAAGGAAAGAAATGTAAAAACTTCTCACCTTGACAAAAAAAAAAAAAACAAACAAACAAAAAGAATCTCTGAAAGGTAAAAAGTTGAATGTCAACACACTAGCAATGCTCAAACACTTTAAGAACCATGTGGCAAAAAATAATCACTATACACCAATTAACATACCAGCTGACTTCTGGTAAGATGTGACCAATACTCAAGGACAAAGAAAGTGACAGCTGTTCCCTAGCACCACAACAGGAAATGCCAACAGGGAAAGAAGGGAAGCAGGTGGCCAAGATTTTTGTAACAACTTTTCACAGGACAGGGTACATATGTTGGCTACATTTTGTATCATGCCTTTACCTGTATGTCACCTTAATTTTAATGGTACAACTATAAGCATTTATTAGTGTGATGGAGATTTAATTTAACAACAGAAATAAAGTTTGAATGAAGGAAGCAGCCCATCAAAATTCTCCTTCTCCCACACTCTGCTAGAGATTAGCTATTTTTAAAAGCAAAGGGTTTGGAGGCCTATAAATCTACATAAAAATTCCTTTCCCCTGTTCCTTCCTCCCATGAAGCTCAGTGTCTCCTGGCCTTTAATGTGCATAATAATTCTAAATGATTATATATACAAAAATATTCAGACCATATTTTCTGAGTTTAGAGGGCTGTCTCGTACAGTTTGCACTTTATGTGAGTGATTTCTGTTAACACACCAAGGCAAGCTCACTCCCAGGTAAGAAGATCAAATCTCACAGGAGGAAGATTCTAACGATTACATCTACACCAGCATAGACTATCTGGAAGTCATGAATTTTCCTTCATGAAAGCTGTTCATATACAGGCTAGAAAACCACTCAGAAAATTTAAGAAAGTAATTGAGTGAGAATTAATTTTTCTTTCAACTTGTAAGATTTTATAATAGCTGGGCGTGGTGGCGCACAGGCAGAAGAACAGGGAGGGAAGAACGAATATTACATGATATGTAAAAATTGAATGAAATTAAAACTTCAGTGTCCAAATTTAACTAGAAAATAGACACGCCAGTTTACCTTCTGTCTGTTGAGGCACACAGTGAAACAGCAGCCGCATGGCTGCGGCAGAGGTGGTGTGCCCCAAAGCCTAAAGTATTTACCTTCTCCTTCACAAAAGCAACAAAGCAAAGCTTACTGCCTACTGTCTTATATTACCTGAAATGGTCCTGTCTGCTTACCGTCTACTCCCCAGCTCCACACAGAATACAGCTTACTGAGACAGAGGCCTTGTCTGTTTTTGTTCCTTCACCACAATCTAGAAAGACTTCTGGGCCAAAGTAAGGGCTCAGTAAACACCTGGTGAATTAACGAGCAAGTGGTCCATAATGTCACAAGAGTTTAGACTTTCTCCTGTTCTCGCAGGGATGAACCAAACAGCTCAAAGTACTGGTCTCACCAACTAGTGCAAGACCCTGAAACTCCAGGGAGCCACGGAAGGCTCAGCTACTGCCAAGTGGTATGACAACCACAGCTGTTTGCGCGTATTTATCTTAAGATGCAAATACTCTGAGAAATCTCATTTCCTACAGAGTACACAGTACCGACACCATGTCGGATCTTTAATAGATGCTCATAATTACAAGAGATCTAGATCATGTGCTAATGAATTTTTAATATCTAGAATTTTCCTTTGGGGCTCATCAGCTATTTAGTCTGTAAGCAGCTGAAAAATCTTTAGAAATTAAAAGGTTACCACCCACAAACCAGAAGCAGCTTTTTAATGTTTCTCTACTAGCCAGAGAGTGGGTGTGTGAAATAAAAAAAAAAAAAAAACCCACCAACCCAACTCTGTAACTCTGTTGGTGGAGGACATGGTTTTGAGCATCCCTGTTACACGACACTGTAAAATTATCACCCACTCCCAATCTCAGTCTCAATCTTGTAATCTGTAAATCAAAGTGGAGGACAGACCCCACCTCCTGGAGAAATTTCATGTTACTAACATTTCCGTTAAGGTTCTTTACCTCTAGACTTTGCTACAATTTCTACACAGAAATTCTATATACTTCAATTCTGAAGACAAGGATTTTCAGTTTAACTTCTAAAATGTAAGACCCTGGACAGAGAAACAAATTAAATTCGTGATATATTTTAAAGTGGCAACCTGCTTCCCAATCTCAGGAGTTTGTTAGGTTTTTTTTCTTTTTTTAAATAAAAGCTAATTTAGGAATTCCATCCTTTCACAGGGACACTCGTGGCACAGTTTTTTATTTTTTATTTTTTGACGACTATGTCAGATTTACAACAACCATTTTAAATGGGTTGCATGGTCCTCTTTTTCTCTATTATACCTAAGTCAGGCCATTGGCTACAATCTACAGAAATTAATATAAAACGTGTCACCAAAGCAAATATATTCTCCAACAGCTCAAGTGAGACACTTCCAGAAACCCCCGCAGATCCACCAGGGGGAATCTCCTCCAACACTGTCTAGGGATGGGGCCGGACAGACACTGGACCACTGGAACAACACCATTCATCCACACTTTGGCTGAGGCTGAAATCCCGGGCTTGGGAGCGAAGCGCAGTTCACTGCGGCCCCCTGCTCTCCACAAAAAGGGTTAATAAAGGGCACCCTAGGGCCAAGCCCGGCCCACCTAGACTCTCCCTCTCAACGATTCTCCCCAAGACTGCGGGCTTCCTCCTCCAAGTTAAACCACAAGTTCAGAATCAAAACAAAAGGTGCACGACTTGTTTCTGGTGGCAAGGACTGACTCTCGGTGGCCAACTTTAAGGGACCGCAGGGCCGAACGAGCGAGGGTTCTAAGACCTCGACTGACTGGAAGGCCTAGGGCCTGGGGCGCGAGTCCTCAGAAGCCCCTCGTTCTGCTCAGTCCGAAGGGGGAGCCGGGGAGAGTGCCGGGAAAGGGGGGGGGGGTGTCCCAGTGACAGGCAGGAAGCCCGGCGACGCGAGGTCCAGCCCGAGGCCCGGGGCTTCGGCGCCACCGGGGCAGCAAAAGGTCCGATTGGTTCCAGGCCGCGAGGAGGCCCCGCTGCCGCGCCGGGGAGACCGCCCGTCCCCACCCACGGCCTGGGCCAGTCACTCACCGTTGGAGAGACGACGGACAGCCGGCGTCTCCGCCAGCGCCGCGGCTTGGGCTCCAGCGCCGGCTCCCGCAGCTGCAGCCGCGGCGCCTGGTCCATCCCCACCCCACCCTCCCCCTCCCGGCCCGCCCCCCGCACCCTTCGGCCACAGCTAACGCCGCCGCCGCCGCCACGGCCCCGGCGCGCGAGCGCGAAGCGGCGCGAGGGAACGACAGGGAGTGCGAGAGCGAGAGCGCGCACCGTCGCCACCGCCGCCCACCACCTCCGGCTCCCGCTGATGGCGCAGGCGCGAGGCGGCGCCCGGCGGGGACGCGCACGCCGTCAGGGGCGTGACCGGACTCAGAAGGTGTGGCCACGCCTCGGGCCCGCCCACCCACGCGGGCGCAGGCCAAGTGGGCTGGGGCGCTCTGTCTCCAGGTGAGTTCTTCCTTTCCCTTCCTGGAGTGCGGAAGCCGGGGCGCTTCAGCACCTCGGTTCTTCGGCCCCTGGGCTTGTCGTATCCTTGGCTCCTCTTCTCTTCAGCCTCTCAATCCCTCCGCTCCGGGGCTCCTCAGTTTCTCGGCTCGTCGTCCCCAGAGCTCCTTGTGTCCTCAGCCCCTGATTGGTGCAGGCTGAGGCTAATTTCTGGGGTACACGCCCCGAGTCACACACTATTTTCTCCTCCTTGACTCCCAGGGCCTTCCAGCTAACGGACTGCCTTTTCGTCAAATATCACCGCTGAAGAAACTGCCAAGTGGCCCCCAGCCCATCCCTTTAATTCTACCTGTTACTCTAGTTTAGTCGTCCATCACTGGGACGTGGAAGCTTCTTTCGTGTTGGAGCAGCTGGAAGTGCAAGGCGGGAATAAACGGAGTCCTTGGCCTTGTGAAGTTTGAGCGAAATCAGCGGGGGATGATAGAGCTCGGTTCAGCCTTTGAATTGGGAAGAGTGCACTGGTTGAGGGTATAGCTTGGCCAGTAGGGGAGCTGAGAGACCACTGATTGCGGTGCAGCCATGACTTAGACTGCTTGTGAAAGGAGGTGAGCAAAGGAGCGCAGGGACAGGTTTGGGTTTCCTTCAGCCGTGGCTGCAAGGCTAGTAACTTGATTTTGTCTGATTTTAAATGATGGCGCAGGCATTTGAAAAGTGGCCTAGGGGTGGAGGTGGGGGGAAGGCCAGTCAGGAGGCTACTGGCGAGATAGTTAAGGCAAGGTAGGAGAGTGGTCATAGAGAAAAACGTTGTTTGGGGGTGAAATAGATAAGTGTCGGTGGAGTGAAGGCTGAAGGGGAAGGGGGTGGTGAGGGTGAGCTTGCAGATTTAAGGGGCAGTGTGAATGAAGCCATTAAGGAAAGTAATCTGAAAATGAAGAATAAATATATGAAATTGTAAAACAGTAAGTTAATTTTTTAAAAAAAAATGAGCGATAAACCTAAATCTGAAAGATAAACCTGAAAAGAAAGAAGAAAATGTAGAAAAAAATCTTTGTATCCCTGAGAAAGGTTAAAAACTTACTTTAAAGGCATGAACCATAACCAACTTTATTTGATAAATGTTATCAAAATGTATGTAGTTTATAAACATTTAAGGAATTAAAAAGGCATGGCGGGCAGTGGTGGTGCACACCTTTAATCCCAGCACTGGGGAGGCAGAGACAGGTGGATCTCTGTGAGTTTGAGGACAGCCTGGTCTACAGATTGAGTTTCAGGACACACAGGGCTGTATAGAGAGACCCTGTCTAGAAAAAAAAAAAAAAAGAAAGAGAGAGAGAGAGAAAAAGGAAAGACAAAAAGGCAAGTTATTGATGGGAAATAAACTAAAGTAGAATATATCCAATGAAAGTCTTGTGTCCAGAATATGTAAGAACTTCTTTTCCTCTCTCTCAGTCCTGAGGATTGAACCAGGGCCTTACATGTGCTCAGTAAGAGCTAAACTATGTACCTCCTCTGCCCTAAATAATAAAACAAACAACCAATAAATCAGTAGGCAGAAGGCTTTGGTAAGTATTTCACAAGATGTAAAAATGACCATTAAACACGAAAAGATAACATTAGTCATCTGGGGATTTGCAGATTAAAACCACAAGATACATACTGTCGTTGGAGTAACTACAACTAAAGACTGGTGACCCACCTGTCACACTCTTACTCATCTCCTTAGCCATACTTAATAAAGAAACCCAGATAAAGAAAAAACTAAGTGTCTTAGTCAGTCTTCTATTGCTGTGAAGAGACACCATGGCCAAAGCAAGTCTTATAAAAGAAAGCATTTAATTGGGGCTGGTTTACTGTTTCAGATGTTTAGTCCATTATCATCAAGGCAGGGAACATGGTGGCATGCCAGCAGACATGGTGCTGGAGAAGTAGCTGAGAGTTCTACATCCTGATCCACAGGTAGCAGGAAGAGAGAGCCACTGACCCTACCTTGGGCCCTTGAAGCCAGTGACAGGCTTCCTCCAACAAGGCCACACCTACTCCAATAAGGACACACCTCCTAATCCTTCCCGAGTAGTATCACTCCCTGATGACTAACTAGTCAAACATATGAGCCTACAGGAGCCACCACACTAAGTCATGCTTCCACTTAACATAATATAGTGAAAAAACAGCCATGCTTTGCCCAGAAGAGGGTGCAGAGTCCTTGGATCATGTTCTCCTTCCACCTTTGATCCTTGTAAAATGAAAGCATTGATACTGCAGTACAAAGTTAACCAGGAATATGTCTCGACTGTGTCCTGGTAACTTCATTTTCCTCTCAATAATGAGGATTGGTCATTTCAGCCTCTACAGAACTTCTTTGCCTATTGAGATGCCTGAAGATCTGATACCTTCACACCAACGCACATAAAATAAATTTAAATAAGTTATTAAAAAAGAGAACCAAAAGCAAAGACTTATGTGTATGACTGTTTGCCTGCACATAATATGTGTACCATGTGTATGCCTGGTGCCTGTAGAGGCTGGGAGAGGGCATTGGGTTCTCTGAAACTGGAGTTAGGTGGTTCTGGGCTGCCGTATGAGTTCTAGGAATGTGTGTCATCTAGAAAAGCAGCAAGCACTCTTAACTTCTGAACCATTTTTCTACCCCCAGTGCTGGTGGGTTTTAGTTTGCAACTTGACACAATCTAGAATCACCTGGAAACAGAAGCTCAATTGGGAACTATCTAGATCAGGTTAGCCTATAAGTGTGCCTGTGAGAGATTTTCTTAATTTCATGAATTGAAGTGAGAAGACCCACGCTAAAAATGGGCAGCATCTTTTTAATGAGCTGAACCCTGGACTTTATAAGTGGAATAGGTGAGCTAAGCATTTAAAGCATGCATGCATGTATTGCTAGGAAGACCACTTGTTTGTTTCCCGGCTGCCTGGCAGCTCAGACCCAAAATAATCACACAAAACTATATTATTTAAATCACTGCTTGCCCCATTACCTCTAGCTTTTTATTGGCTAACCTTTACATCTTAATTTAACCCATCTCCATTAATCTGTGTATCACCATGGCCTACTAGCAAAGTTTCAGCATGTCTTGTCTCCAGTGGTGGCTACATGGCTTCTCCTTGACTCTGCCCTTCTTTCTTCCAGCATTCAGTTTAGTTTCCCCCACCTAGTTCTGTTCTATCCTATCAGGCCAAGCCTGTTTCTTTATTCATCAACCCATAAAAGCAACATGTAGACAGAAAGACTTCCGATATCATGCATGCATGCATACATGCATGCATGCATTCTCCCTCTGCTTTTGACTGTGAATATGACCAGCTATCCCAGACTCATGCCACTATGACATCTTCTCAGTGATGGGTTGTAGCCTGAAATTGTGACCTAAAATATGCCTTTATTCCCCAAGTTACTATTTTGCCCAGGAAAATTTGTCACTGTAACTAGGATGCAGTAATGCCTCATGTTTCCAGATCCTCCTGTGTTTGTAAGTATGTACTTCACTTGTCAGTGTGGATAGCCAGCTAAAAATGTAGTCTCACAAAATTTGAGTTGAGTAGGAACTATTTAAGATCTAAAAAGCTCAAAGAAGACTGTCTCATCCAGTGGCCACGCCACACAGGAGCACAGAAACATTGAAGTGCTCTTGAATAATGTACTCCGATAAGCCAGGTAAGGTGGTTTTTACCTATAATCCCTGTACTGGGAAGTCAGAAGAAGCAGGAGGATGGCTAGTCTAGTTACGTAGTGAGATCCTGTCTCAAAACCATGTGGGAAGTGGGTGGACCAAAGGGCTCTGGGAGTGTAAGTGCAGAACCCTGTTGACCTAAGATCAGTCTGGAAAGCCCACGTGAAGTCAGGATACATTAGCACCCACATCTGTAATCTTCATGTTCTTGTGAGATGAAGTGGAGACAGGAGAATTGGTTTGATATTGCCTCAAACAACATGGCAGGAAAGAAGCAACTCCCAAAAGTTGTATCTGACCTCTGCCACACAGGTTCTGTGAGCCATATATGTATGCAAAACCAATAATAAATAAAAGATGAGGGTGGGGTGGTGCTGCAGAGATGGTTCAGGGATTCAGAGCACGTGTTGCTTTTGCAGAGGATCTGGGTTTAGCTCCCAGTATTCATGTGGTCCCTTCCAACCATCTGTAAATGCAGTTCCAGGGATTGGCACCTGACCTCTGTGGGCACTGTATGCATATGTTGCACATGCACACACAGAGGCAAAAACACTCACACATATAAAAGAAAAAATTACAAAAAGTAAAAGCTGGAAATATATATTTCCATGGATCCAAGCAAATTAGCTAATATCTCTGAATTCTAACTATTGTGCAAATTTTTCTCTCCCACCTCAGTGCCTACACACACACACCATGTGTTTAGTACAGCTTTCTTTCCTAACAGATGACATGAGGCCTCAGCTTAAATGTCATTTCCTCAGGGAAGTTTTTGCTGACCTCACAACACAGGTCAGCTTCTTCCACGAAGTAATCTCAAAAAAACATCCTGAACTTCCCCTTTCTGGGCTTAACACATATTTAACTTCTCCCTTAAACATCTCTGGATGGTGAACTCTAGAAATCTGGGGACCTTTCAACTGGTCTGAACCCCCGGCCCTCTGAGGTTCTTTGGAGAAAATTACCAAAGGAAAAATTGTGATTCTGTTCTTTAAATAAATGCTCCTTGTGTTTGGCTGAGCCTAAAATAAATAAATAAATAAATAAAATAATTAATTTATGCGTTTCTGAGCCGATGCCATTAGGGACCAGAAGGGGGCAGCAGATTCCCCATAAGGAATTACAAGCAGCATAAGCCTATCCGGTCACCTGGAAGAGTAGCCAGCACTCTAAACCACTAAGCAGCCCCCCCACACACACACCCCTTCTATTTGTTGCAGATTTTTCTGTTGTCTCATTTGCACCTCCATAGACTTAAATCTACCAATTTAGCTTTCAGTCCTAAAAATGCGTATCAGCTCCTCCTGCCCCTTAGGGACTAGCATGGACTAGAGATGGATGGCCTGCGTTCCTGTGCAAATATTGCTACTCCACCTGATGTCTTGGACAAGTCACCTCAGTGCTGTCTGCTTCTACAGTGATCCTGACCTCACAGATGAGCTTTAAGCTGAAAATGAATAACCCTGAAAGGAATTGGAGTGACTGACACGTAAGAAATACTTAAGCCACTATTGGTGACACTGGAAGGTGGTGGTGGGACAGGTCAGATTGCATCCAAGCTGTCTCCTGACACCCAGGCCAAGGCGACCGCAGCAGCTTTCATATATTCTAATGAACATTGGAGCAAAGCCTACCTTCAAAACAAGCTACACTCCTGGTATGCTATACAAGCTGTCCTGTTCCCCCACCAACAAAACCATGTGCCCAAGTCCTTTTCCCCCTTTCCAAATAGCTATGCTCTTAAGAGAGGTGCTTGCCCCCAGCAGAGTTGGTATGCCAGGCAAGGTACATGTAACATAGCCTCTGTCTGTATACAATTCCCCTTTAACATCATGTCATTCACTACACCACAGTGGCCCAGCCCAACAGAAGGCCAAAAATGGTTTACCCCGATTTCATCCCTTTTCTTAGAAGCAGAGAGGTCGCCATAGGCATGGTTGCTGGTGCAACCTGAGAACATATGCTGACCCAGCAGGTTCCAGCACGTTATTTTCCAACTGACTCTGTGCACTGCTCTTAAAGAAAATCTTGTTCTATAGAGTGCCTGAATTTTTATTTCAAGCTAAGTGTAATGATAAAAGGGAAGTATTTTTTTTTTTTTTTTTTTTTTTTGGTTTTTCGAGACAGGGTTTCTCTGTGGT